AAAATGCCGGAATTCAAATGTAACTGATTGTGTGTTCCAATATTTTCATATTCATAGAAGGCAAAACATTGTTTCTACCTGGCGTTGGACAATGGAAAGGTTGAATCAGTATGAGAATGATGCTAACCCTACTTGCTTCAATAAGGCATCATGCAGGAATATGTTCCCTCAGGCAGTTAGAGCAAATCACAACTTAGCTATTTACCCAACTTACCCTCTGAATGATTATTGTAAAAACAAAACAAAAAAAATCACAAAACCAAAAACTAAATTCCCTAAGCTTGAGATTCTTTCATACAGGACATGAATAACAATGCCTACCTTAGAAGGTTACTGTAAAGCTGATATAAGGTCAGTATAGGAAAATATTTTTTTTTCAACTCAGTGTCTATCTCTAGTTAGACACCCAGTCATGCCCCTTCTCCCTGCTCCCTCCTTTCTTTAAAAATAAGTCAGCTTGAGGAAATGGTGGTGACAATGGTTCTCTTGAGCTGTACATAGATCTGTTGACATCAGACTGCTGAGGCTGGATTGATTTAGTGATTTTCTGTCAGCAAGCAACAATGCTGGGCTGTATCACATGTCTGTGAAGGGCTCATGCGTCTACAAAGGACAGGGATCTTTCTTCTCCCAATCTTCAGAGCAACACTGTGATACTGCAGTTAGCAAACGCATTCGACAGACATGGATCTGAAACTTGGGAAATAGAAGTGTCTTCCCAAAGCAAGCAACAAGAAACACAAATTGGTTTGTAGTATTTCTGACTCAAGTGCATTATGGCCCAGCGGCTTCTTTTTCTGGTTCCCAATGCACTCCTTGAGACCCATGTCTATGGAGGGATGTCAACAAACACCTGTTTACTGTAGAAGATAAGGTATTAGCTCGTGGCAGGCCTCATGCTCAGCTGCCACGACTCTCTGAGCAGATGATACCCTTGTTCTGTGCTCCAGGGAAGCAACAACACCTTGTTATTGCATCAATAGTTGAAATGAAGCTGTCTCCACTACCTGTACTTTTTATGATTTGGCTGTTTTTACGGTTATATTTATGGAGGCCAACACGTATCAGGGAAGCAATTCCTAGGGCTCCAGGAGGGATTAATGGAACACAGATTGTTTATCTTTCCATTAGTAGAATCTATAAACGCTGAAAAGAAGGATTCTGAGATAAGAGGGATTTTACTTGGAGCCTATAAAAGCAAACCCACCAACTTGTCTGTCTGCATGCTAGTGCAGAGGAGGGATGTAAAGGAAGCATGTAGCTCCAAGCAATCCTGGACTGGCAGGCTACAGAGCTAGCAGATTGCTGTCCTCCCTACTATGGCATAAAAGATGATCCTGAGGTGTGGAGGAGGAGGACTAATGTTCCATTGCTCTTTTCGAGAAACAGACCTAGCCTAGCTGGTGATGGACACTGCTAATACTATCTTGTCCTTCCCTAAGACAGGATAATTGTGCAGCAAGCAAGGCAGTTAGTGGTCATTTTTAATAGTTACATGACTTGCTGGCTAATCATTAAAATTTATAAAGTTCAGTGAGATTCTGGGAGAAAAAGAATGAACACACACCACTCTATTAAAATGCTGGAAGATACATATGTGCTTCCCATTTTGGACTTAAGCATGAAAACATGTAAGATTCTCTATAGTGCTGGAAGGCTATGGGGTACTCTCTCTCTCTCTCTCTCTCTCTCTCTCTCTCTCTCTCTCACACACACACACACACACACACACACACACACACACACACACACACACTTTATGTTTTGGTCTTGGTTTTTGAGACTGGGTCTTGCTATATATCTCTAGCTAAGCCGCAAGCTCTCAGAGATCCACCTGGCTCTGCTTCCTCAGAATTAAAGGAGTGCACATAATGCCATGTGCTTTATACTATTTTGTTTTGAATTTATAGAATACCACCTTTGGAAACAGTGTATTAGATACATAATGAAACAATGATGGGAAAACATAGTTGTGTGCCTAAGTAGAAGGCTGTAATGATATGTAACACGATAGTCATTAACTTGAAGCATCCTCAGATACCTGATACGAATGGTCTAATTATTCCCACGCACAGCCCTCCTGGAAAAGGTATTATTATTTCCACCTTGAAGATAAATATCATATCTCCCCCTGATTTATATGTGTCACTTCTGAGAAGTTTCATTCTTTGCTTTCTGCTTCCTCTTTAAACTTTGAGACTGAATCATTCCCAAATTAAATACTTTTGCAGAGGCAGAATGTTCTTTGCTTCTGTGGATGGTTCATATGAATTCAGTGTTTACCCAACATTCTTGTCCTATAGGCTAAGAAATTATAAAGCGCCCTAAAATATGGAAGCTAAGAAAGTAATCTGATGCAAAATAAATATAACCGGAAATGGCAGTGCTTTTGCAGAGCCTGCGGGTGGACAAGCTTACAGGTCTGTAAAGAGAAAGTGGGAAGGACAGGAGTCAGACTCAAATCAAAAAAAACTAGCATGGTTCTCATCTCCCTCCCATCTTAAAATTAACAATGAAAAGGGAAGCTTTTACAGTTTTATCTAGAGAAAGAAAGGTGGGGGCGTGAGGCATGAAAGGACAGGGAATAAGTAAGGAAGCAGGAAAGCTTTCTAAACGGCGGAGCAGCGATTGATGACTTTGTATTTAAGTGAGTGACATGTAGTAATTGTGCATTTTTGTAGCTACAGTGTGATGTGTTGATACATGTACCTCAAGTTAAATGGTGACACAGGAAGATTCCAAAGAGCTGCTGTTGGTTGACCAAATCTGCCATTTAATAAACTGCCATAAATTGGCGCTTACACACAAGAAACATATTCCCTGTGCACCAAGGTGTGAGTAGGTTTGGTTTCTCCCAAGCAATTCTTTCACTTGCACAAATATATATATTGACAATATGGTCTCACTGTAGCCCAGCTGCCTTCAAACTCTTAACTCCTGCCTCTGCCTGTCGAATGCTTAACCACAGGAATGTGACAGCATGCTCAGACCCAATGTCTTTCTAATGCATTATATCACATTTCTATTCAAAGGCACTATCTCTAAATAAAGATCCCATTCTAGGGGATGGGGGGTAGGAGGAGTATAATGTAGACCGAATAAGATGCTTTTATTCAAACAGCATTTTGTACTTTCAGACAGGGCTATTAAAAACATATCCTCACTCCTATAGCATGAACCTGGGAGGTCAGCCATGCTTTTTCACCTAGAGTTTTCTCTCAATTCACTTGACTTAAGTTCATTCTTCACCCAAGCAGTCCCCAAAGGTGATTCTGTGCATCTATGGGAGCTTATCGGCTACCTCCCACGGCTTCAAAGACAAGGCTGCATTTTCTACAGTCAAACTAACTTATGTAATAACTGTAACCATGTACTCACGGAAGAGCAGTCCACCACTTCCTCTGTATTCCTGTAGGGCCAGGAACAAACCCAGGCATCTCACTTTACAAGTTTCGTGACACCCATCCCCTGCCCTAAGCTGGAGTGTGTTTAAGGGTTTTCCCACACTTCTTTTTGCCCCAGATGGCTTCACCCTGGACTATGTCACAAAGAGCATGGGCATTTGCTTGGTGCTGGCATTCTAGTATCATACGGTCAGCTAGAGAGCTGCCAGCCCCACCTACTGCCAGCCACACTAGTTAGAACAAGGTAAAATAAATTCCAAGTGATTTTGGAGATGGTAAACAAAATGTTTAAGGGGAATTTTTCTTTAAAGAATTGTCACAGAACATATGGACATGTATTTTCTATCACTTTGAGAAAAGTGACATTGGCTATCATAATTTGAAAACACATGAATGGGGTTATTTTTTTTACTTAATGTAAATTACAGTTATACTAATCTCACATCACCTATTAATGAAACATATCTTAGGTTTTGGTCTTTTGAAGTAGCAAGCCTCCTGCATTTCTTAGTGTGTTCAAGTGTGGTTTAACAGGAGAACTTGTGATCAATATGCATACATTATGTAATTACATAGTGATGTAAAATCAGTAGAAATCCATACATGCATTCCTTTAGTTAACAGGCACTTAGTCATCTAAGTGGTAGAAATGGTAGCAAATGCAAGGAATACAAAATAGTTATCTATGTGATGGAAATAATACCAAATACTAGAGAGACAAAATGCATAAAGGGCTCATAGTCAACTGGAGAAGAGAGGACATCAGACAAGCCCAATTTTAGATAAAGCAGCAACTTTCAAAATTGAACATGTAGTCAAATCACAAGGAGGGTTTATTCAAGCCCAGATTTCTTGTCACATTCAATAAGATAGAGAATTTGCATTTCTAGTGCATTCCCCAGTGCTGTTGCTCAGATAACATACTGAGAACCATTCATCCCAAGTTATATGTATTTGGGGCCATGGAAGCTCTGAAGAGGGGTGAGGGGTATTTTAATGGCCGAGTGGAGGAGAAGGATGAAGGGATAAGAATATGGGGTACACTTTTAGCTATAAAGCCAGAGAAAGTGAGGATGGTTTAAAAATGCAGATAATACTACTAGGCTAAGACAAAGTTTGAAATAGTTAAAGGAGGTCAATCCAGAATAGTATAAAGGCTCATTGCTGTACTTAGAGAGCCCTTGACTGAATACCACAACTACTATTCTCCAATTAGACTTTTAGCTTAAAGAGAAGAATCGTATTAGAACTTTGCCCAAACTTCCAGAGGGGCTTCCCTCTCTTGGCAAGAAATCTTTTCATCATTCTGATGACAAATCCCACTGGGAGGTAATGTGAGCAGCATGTAGGAAGGGTGTATTGATTGAGTGTGAGCTTTTGCCCCTGACCACTGAGCCACAGGGAAATGGTTCCTGAACACCATGAACAATAAATGGCTCATGATGGTAGACTTTTAGAAAACCTTAAGCTTAATTGACCTCTGATGGCCTTCTGTCCCTCAGAGAAACATGACAGCAATCTAAAAGGAAATGCAGGGAATGGAAGAAGTCCCCGACAGCTGGGTCTTAATGAAATGTGTTTTGCTTTCTTTTCTAGGGGAAGATGATGATGATGATGAATGTGGGGAGGAAAAGCTGCCCTCCTGTTTTGATTACGTGATGCACTTTCTCACAGTATTCTGGAAGGTTCTGTTTGCCTTCGTCCCCCCTACAGAATATTGGAATGGCTGGGCCTGTTTCATCGTCTCCATCCTTATGATTGGCCTCCTGACAGCCTTCATTGGAGATCTGGCTTCCCACTTTGGCTGCACCATTGGCCTGAAAGATTCCGTGACTGCAGTTGTGTTTGTCGCTCTTGGAACCTCGGTGCCAGGTAAAGGATCTATGGAACTAGCCAAAACAAAAAGAAAACATGCACACAAACACCATTGAGTTAATTCTGTGTTGGCCATGCCCTGGAGTGTGAATGAATGATATACCAAATGACACTCCATTTGGGGGGGGGGGAACAACTGATTTTCCCAGCAGGTATCAATTCCAAATAGCTTCTAGGTTAGAGGTGTCACCTGTCCCTTCTCAATGCTGGGATTTTATCTGGTTTGAACCCATGTGGGTCTTGTGCGTGCTGTCACAGTCTCTGTGTGTTCACATATGGACTGGTAATTACTGTTCTGTCTGGAAGACACTGTTTCCTTGGCAGCATCCACCACCTCTGGCTCTAATAATCTTTGTACCTGCTCTTCCACAGAGATCCCTAAGCCTTGACAGAGGGAATTAATCAATACGCCCATTTAGTGCTGAGTGCTCCAATGTCTCTCACTCACTGAACATTTTCCAGCTTCGATTCCCTTTGTTAATTTCCATGTACTGCAAGAAGCTGCCCTGATAGGACTTGAGCAATGCTCTGCTCGATGGGTGTAGCAATTAGATAATGGTTTGTTGTTGTTGCTTTAAGTTTTGTGGTTGTGAGAAATTCCAGTCCTCTATTTTCATAGGCTAGGACTTGCCCCTTCTCAGATTCCCTATCCTAATGGTATAAGACATGGATCTTGAGACTGCCCCTTTATCATGGGCTCAGTCATATGACAGACTAACTCAGAGTTCTGAGACCAGCTACCAGCCAAAAGAGAGAGGGGACCATAGAATCTCTGGCTTACCTGTGGCTTTGATAAACATCAACCACACCTCATACCAAAAAAGAAAAATCACAATGGGCCATAACAATTGATTTATTAGAAGAATGAAACAAAACTATTAGTTGCTGTAATTGCTTTTCTGCTCAGCCAGAAATGTTTCCAACTGGGATGCAACCTTCTCTGTACAATATTAACTGTACATCATGCTCCCTAAAAAAGACAATTACAGGAAATATGTGTATATATGTGTATGTCTGTACACATAGATATATACATGTATATATGGTGTGTATATACACATGTATATATGCATGTATATATGTGTGCATGCATGTGTGTGCTTGTGTGTGTGTGTGCATATGGAATCCCTTTACCTCCAAAAGCTACATGAATTAAAGATGCCAAAGGACTATACAATATGGCCTTATTCATCATATTGATCCTAACATCTGTTTAACTGTGTCCCAGACATCTAAAAAGAAAGGGGGAAATGATGCTATTGTTTCTGGCACACAACAATTGTTACAAGTGGACAAAATTAAGACAAAAAGTAAAATGCTCATCACATCAGCCTGCCCTTAGTCAGCACTGGCCATCAGACCCAGGTGATGTCTTGATACTTGTGAAGTAGAAACACTACTGCCTGCTGTCTAATGAGTTGCTTTCTCTTTCTATCAGAGACTCTGGTGCTTAGACACTGTAATGGCTAGATAGGAACTGAAAACTTATCCCCACGCTATTCTTCCAGCCTCAGGGCAGGATTGAATGCCCACATGTCTCATTAAAAATGTCTTTTACAATATTGTTTCAAATATGGGGTGGTGTTTTTGGCTTTGAGAATGAATGACGTTTTCTCTCATCATAACAGCAGGTGCCAAGAGCTCATTAAAGTACTGGGGAAGGAAGGGGGTAATCATAAGGTCTCCGTCTTCCTACTGCTTCAAAGCTACACCTGTCAGTAGAGGAAGGCCCCTTTTCTAAGTCACCATGCTAGGTGCAGGAAGAGGTTTCCAGAGAGTCTCTTCTAACCTTGGATTGATGACATGAGCCACAGCTTGCTCCCTGGACCTGTCCCTTCTCTTCCCACAATTCCCTAAGAATATCCTTCATGACAGACATGCCATCTATAAACCAGTGCTTACTAGGTGCACATCAGTACTGGCTGAGCTGAGTCACATAGCATTTGCCTTTCCTGCATCCAAGTACAATATGTGATGGGTGATTTATGGCTCCTCACTGCCATGTCCAATTTCAGCAGCCCAGTGACTTCAGTCCTTCATCCAAACCTGTTCTCTCCAGACGTGACCTTTTCAGAAAAACAATACAGTTGTCCACCCAGGAGGCCTTGATTTCTATTTTTCCTTCGCTTTCAACTCCAGCATGCCTTCCATCCTACATGTAATTCAGGGGTCCACATAATTGCCCCCCCCTTCTGCCTCATAATTGTTCTTTAAGCAGAGCAGCCTCCTACTTCTCTCTCTCTCTGTTTCCACTGGGGATCTTTTGAAGAAGCAAATCAGACCAAAGTACTCCTTAAGATCTCCAGGTGGCCCTTCTTCTCACTTAGGACAAACCCAGAGGCATCGCTCTCATCTGAAGACTTACATCATCTGGCCATTCCATGACATTCCCCTCCATTCTATTTGTCCACTGTTCTTAGGGCTTAACACTCTGCTTCTGTTCTCCACACTGAATTCATTGGTATCTCAGGGTTTCACTGGCTGCATGAGTCACTGTCTATTCATCTACAGTCGTGTGTTACCTTAAACTCGTATCTTCTGTTGTCAAGCAGACCACACAATGTTTCGTATTATCAGTTCCTTTTCTGTACAGTTTTGTTACTACATGAAGCTTTACATACTTTTCTTTCATTATATTTTTATTTAATCTCTCTATCTTTCTCTCTCTCTCTCTCTCTCTCTGTGTGTGTGGGGGGGTGAGTGCACACGTGCAAATTGTGGGAGTTTGTTTTTTCCATTCATGATATGAATCCCAGAGATTAATCTTAGGTCATCAGTCTTGGTGGTTTCATCTACACATTTACTTACTAAGGCTTATCTCATTGGCCTCTTAGTTTTGCTCTTCAATAGTTATTATTTAACTCTCCCAACTGCAACATTCATGAAATCATAAAACCTAGTTACTTCTATCATGCCCTTATTGTGTGTGTTCCAGTGGCACACCACACACACACACACACACACACACGCACACACATACACACACACAAGAAAGGGCAAACCAGTCATTTACTCCTTAGCATTAATTGACTCAGTCAGACTCTTCTTAAAACACTCTAGAGACAGGTGAGCATTTCTTATTATTGAGGAAAACAAATAAAGGATATTTTCATAGTGTGGCTGGTTCCTGAGGAACAGGGCGTATCTGAGAAGACCATTGCTGTAAGGAGGGTAAAGGGAAGCTGAAAGGCACAGAGGCTCTCAGAGGAGAAATGTTTTTCCTCCTTCATATTTTTGTGTGTCTTGGGAACTGTGTTGAGCAACAAGACAAATCCTTGTTGCTCCTTCTTTTCTTTCATGATTCTTGCTCCTAAGATACAGAACTCAGACCAGCATTTTTAAATTTTTAGGTATACTGTCAAAAACTATATCCTATTTCACTGTTTCTGTGGGAAAGGAAGCTTGAGATTCAAGGAGGAAACGTGAGGATATACCCTTGGAAATCAGCCTGTTGGAAATGAGAGGCCGCCTCTAATTGGACATTTATTTTAGCTCACTGTAATTTACTCTTGTCTATGGGGCCAAAAGGTCTGCTTTGTAACCTGGATTCTAGATATGGGCTTTGCCTCTTATTCTCATTGGATTCAGATAGTCAGAAACATTCTCCTGGTGTTACAAGGAAAGCTCTTAGGGATTGAGCAGTTACAAATAGTTTCGCTCCCCACCCCCAAAGCCTGGCCTTGGTCTTTCTCCATGGTATCAGCTGGTCTGTACCTGAAGCTTTCCCACTGTACCCTCAAGCTTCCATTTGCCTGCTGCTCACTACAGACCAGAACATTTTAAACATGGATATTCTAGGCTATCTTTTAGCCTCCGGCACTGTAAGATTTTCCGTTTCTTTTAGTGTTCTGACTATCTCTTTATGCTTTGAAATATGCCATGTAGGGATTATTTCCCTCTGGAGGTTCTAAGACATGAAAGGAAACATAATTCTGGATGTTTTTGAACTTTGTTTTTTGGTTTGTATATAGAAAAAATTCACAAACAAATGCTCTTATTTGGGGGCAGCTTATATCATTATTTAATTTTAACACCCTATGAATTTTTTTTAATATAATCGAATTGTTTTCCTTTTAGATTTATCTATTTTTTGTGTATGTAGTGTTCTACCTGCATGTATACCTGCAGGCCAGAAGAGGGCTCCAGATCTATTTACAGATGGTTGTGAGTCACCACGTGGCTTCTGGGAATTGAACTCAGAACCGTTGGAAGAACAGGCAGTACTCTTAACCACTGAGCCACTTCTCCAGCTGTATACCCTCAGACTTTTAAAGACCACAAAAGACTTTGGGATGAAGCTGGTTCTATTGACTGTCTGCCCTGTTCTCTTTTTATAGTGCCAATGCGCACGGGGGGGGGGGGGGGGGGCACCCGGGGGGGATGCAATTCAGGTCTCTGTCCTGTTACTTACAGTGTGGGTCTGAGAGCCTTCTTGACTCTCTGTGTCTTGGTTCTCATACCTGAAAAATGAGCAGTAATACTACATGTCAGTTCAAATAGAATTGATTAGAGGGTGATTAAATAATATGTTCTGAACACTAACATATGATGCAGGAATTAATGACCTCAGAATCAATGCCAAGATCAATTGGCAAAAGGATTGGAAGTCAACAGAAAAGTGATGATAAATGGAAAAAGTTTTGAGCAAGAGAAGAAACTTTTTAGGCGACCATAAAGCTCCAAGGTGTGTTAGATTCACATTGCCTATTAATTACACTTTAAGTGATATGGTGTTGCGCCCTTGCAACCTTGGTTTGCATATTTTGCCCCTTGGCTCCTGATCCTAAAAGTAGGCTTGTTTGTTTTCTTTTACCCTGTACAAAAAAAAAAAAAAAAAAAAAAAAAAACAACACTATTTTCATGATATTTTTACAAAAAAAAAATAATTATTCCTTAATGGTTTATGTCTCAGTTTTTAATTTCTGGGCTTCTAGTAGCTCTCAGAGCTAACATAGTCTATATTATATTTAAGCAGGAGATATTTTGACATTTTCCAC